AAAATCCTCCAGAGTTATTGTCAAAACTGTGTTAATAGTTAGTTGTTAAACAGGATCATAATATACTGTAAGTCTTTCCTGTACATCCTACGTTTCTCAGCAAGAATCCACTTTTTGCTCAACAGCTTTATTCTTAATTCAGAAAAGAAAAATGGATTCACCACTGATAAGTAAATTAAAAGTTAGCTTTAGAGACACTAGCCACTGCATTAATGAAATGCAGAGAGTAATTTTCATCCTTGGGTGTCAAAAGATAAGTCCCAAGTCTGACATTTGTATGCTTAAATTGCATTAGGTTACTTTACGAATATTTATATATGAGGCTTTATTGCAAGTCTAAAAATTGTGTTCTTTATCCACAAAATTTGGAAAACAACTTGTTAGGGCCTAAACACCATATAAAAAGGTTTTTTTTTCTACCAGGAAAAGAATGGTTGAAGAGAGAGATGATTTCTGAAACAAATTAGAAGTGTTTATGTGTATGTGTGAGTATAGGAGTGTACATATATAGTTATGTTACATTAAAAGACTATATTGTTGACATTAGTATCCTCATATGTAAATGTGGCTAAAAAGGCTATTTCATTATCAAAAATATATTTAGAAGTATGGATGAGTAAAGTCTAGTCTGTAGATGCAGCTTTTTTGTAGGTCTTACTGCTGTTTGTGTCTGCCTCTTAGACTTTGTCTAAACCTAACCAAGTATTTTGACCACCAACACCAACATTCACACACCATCTTCAGGATGGCTAGATGGCAGAGACCCAGGCATTATTCTTCATTTTGACTAATCTGCTATATAGACAACTTGAGCTAATTTTTAACTTTACAAAAGATAGTAACACACTATATGTGCCCACCTTTACTTTCCATATAAATTGCATTAGGCAATAAGTTTCTTCTTTTATGCCTTTTGCGAGGTTAAAGAGTGTTCAAAATATCCTCGCATGTTGGAGCTTCAATAGTACTTCAGATGTCCCTTCATTCACAGTGATCTTTCCTAGCACAGTCAGCACCTGTGCGTAAGGGGAACCACACCCATACAAAAATGAAGGCAATTACGGAAGACATGTGAAACATGGATTGGGTTTACCTAGTCTGCCAGAGGCCATTTGCAGAATCTTGATTGCAGCAGTCAGGTAAAATCCACTTGATCTGGATGACCATCCATAACAATATTTGATAGGAACACTGAAGAGAATGATACAACTCTATGGTTATATTAAATATAATTATCACATCATTTATCACTCTTCATGTCAATAAAAATCTAACTGAACTAGCTTCGACAGCAAAGAGGATTTAATGGCTCACCTCACTGTAAAGTAATATAGATAGAGGGGGCTTCAGGACTGGTTTGATTCAATGATTCAACAATATCAAAACAGAGTTTGTTCTGTTTTGTTGGTCTTTCTTCTCTGTCTTCTACATTGTCATCTTCATCCTAAAGTTATTCTCTCTTGTGACAGTAGAAAGAGAGCGCTGACTTGTGGGAGCTACTGCAGAAAAGTGAGGAGCCCAGAAAACCCAATCTCATTTCTCATTGGTTTGAATTAGTAAACTATGACAGTTTACTTCTCTAACATTCTCTTCAAAGTGCATATTAATTACTTATTAGGCCCAAATAGCTTCTCTTTTGATTCACATGACTTGAACTTGTCTCTAAAAACTACACTCAGTAATATATCAATATTAGTTCAACAATCGTAACACATGTACCACACCAATGAAAGATATTAATTGGAGAAGCAGTGGGGGGATGGGGATTATACTTTCTGTACAATTCTTCTGTAAACATAAAAGTGCCCAAAAAAATGAAGTCTATTTTTAAAAGTGTACTCAGAATCCTCTGGCCAGACACCTTTGTGTTCTACACACAGATGTTAAAGAATTATGTTTTCCACTGTCTCCTTTGGCATGAACTTCCAAATCTATTCCTAGCTAAACCTCCCCTCCCCCACTTTGGAAAGCAATATGAATATCATGGTATTTCCTGTGCAGCAATATTAAATACCTTCCCAAGCTATGCCAGTACAGGGTTACAACATGTTAGTCCTTCATTCCTAACCATCAACATTATCTAAGTTTATTTTTCAATGAAATTGACAAATATATACAATCTAATAAAGGATGTGCTTGAGTTACATCTCTTCTGATATTTTTCTGAAATTTATGATTGGTCAAAAATAAAGGCTGTGGAAAGAATGAAGTAAGAATACATCCAAAATGAGTGAAAACAATTCTTTGATTTTTCCTTTGTTTAGTCTTTTCATAGTCAAAGAATATAGCATTTATATTTATTTTTAGCTGTAATACTTTTTGATTAACTAGAAGAGTATCAATATCTCAATATCCTGGGGTATAAATAGCTCTAGCTGAGAGCAAACAAAGGCTTCTGGGTGCTGTGTAGTGCAGAGCCAATACAGTTATCATAAATTTCACTTCTAACAAGAGACATCATGGTTAACAAAATTGTTTAATTTGCTTAGGCAGGATGAACCTTGTGCCTCTGCAAATTATTTCATGAGCTTTATGCTGAATAATGCTCTACCGAGAGTCTTTTTTCTCCAGTTATACCCAAGTAGGAGTTAGCTTCTAGTTTGTTTCAAGTACGTAATATATGTGAAAAAGTGCTTCCAAATTAGAGGAATTATAGTAACACAAGTCTGCCTTAAGACATACAGGCTGTCAAGTTAAACAGGAATTATGTTCTTCAGCTAACAGATTTATGGAACGTAATGAAATTTTGCTACTGGGTAGTAAGACCATACTGTATAGTCCATTTCAATGGAGAACAGAAAAAGTAAGTAGGGGACAATGTTGAGAAAAAAACAATGAAGTAGGTATCAGAAGTTCTGTATGACCTTGAGCGTTTGACTTTTCTAAACCTTTATTTTTTTATCTGTAAAATAGTAATTCTAGACCTAATTATTTTAGGATCAAATTATGTAATAGAGTGAATGTGTTTTCTGCTTTTCAAAGAGCTATATTAATTTACAATGTTAATATATAAGAAGTGGAGGGCTATCTTACTAAAGTTTGTGAAATAAGGTGAAATGAATATTCTATGATATATAAGGTAAGCTGTGTTAATGAAGAAAGTCCTGAGTCTCTATAAATCCAAGTAAGTGTTCTGGAAACTGTCTTAAATAAAGTGTGTAGAGGAAAACTTTTAAATTATAGTGTACATGAGAATCACCTAATTTTGGTAAAAATACAATTCCAGGATCCCATCCAGCTTGTGTATTTAAAATAACAAATAAAAATAATAACAACAACAACAAAAAATAAGAATGAAATAACACACAAAAAAAGTTCACAAGTAATTCTGACGAAAACCCTCATTTAAGAATCACTAGAGTAGAAGTCAGCACATGATTCTGTAAGATCAAGACAGTAAATATTTTAGCCCTTACAGGCACAGAAGGTATCTGCCTTATCTTCTTGTTTTGTTTTGTTTTTACAAACTTCTAAAAATATAAAGAACATTCTTAATTCCCCAACCATACAAAAAGAATCCAGGAACAGAATGAAATTTTAGAGAATGAAAGATCTCACAGCTTAGTTTGGAAATTAGTACATGATATATACATAATACATTGTAGCTATACGGATGCTTATCTTTTTCATTGTTATGAACCCTTGAGTATATCCTTGTCTTACTCATTTTTGTACTCCTGGAACCCAGCACATTTCCCAGCATATGAGAATCACTCAGTAATCGCTGGATGGATGAATGGAAGAGAGATCTATTAACAAAGATTAATATTAGAGACTATAGTATTTGCAAAATTTATACAATAAGAGGGTTGGTTGTTTTCCAATTAGTTTCACCACTACAAACAGTAAAAAGAAAAACAAAAACAAATCCCCAAGCCCTCAAAATCTCTACCAGCTTAAAATTAGTATTTGTTGACATTGACTATGTTAAGCTAACATTGGCAAGTAATCCGTTATTTGTTCAGAAAAAACATGGTCTTCATTTTGAAGTACTTTTAGGAAGATGGAGTTTCATTTCTTGGGTGCAATATTTAGGGAAATTGTTCTGGGGATGGGAATTGGAATATATCTTTGAAACCTCTGATCTCTAGCATAAGTGGTGTACTTAAGGCTCTGGATTAGTACTGGCTGTACTAATTTAGTTAAGTCTTTCAGTGTGGCTGGTCACATGAATGTGTTTCTTAATTCAAAGTCATTGATACTGAATATATGAAAATGGTGGTAAGTATGACACATTACAGTGGGTTCACAGTTATCCAATTGGCTTAAAATTGGTCTTTTTAAAAAAAATTTATCTTTTAGCTTTATAGAGGTATAATTGAAAAAAATTATATATACTTACAGTGTACAATGTACTTTGATATACATATACATTGTGAAGTGATTACCACAATCAAGCTAATCAATAGATCCATCACTTCATATAATTGTTTTTATTACTTTTTGTGGTGGGATCATTTAAAATCTCAGCAAATTTCCAGTATACAATAAAGTATCTCCAGAACTTCATCCTGACATAACTGAACCTTTTTACCCTTTGGCTAACATTTCCCCTTTTCCTCCCACCCTCTGCCCCCAGGCAAGCACCACTCTACTCTGCTTCCCTAAGTTCAATTTTTTTATTTTTCCACATATATGTGAGATCATATAGTATTAGTCTTTCTGTGTCTGGCTTATTTCACCTTTTTATATCCATGTTCTTTATATCCAAGTTCATTCATGTTGTCACAAATAACAGGATTTCATTTTTTAAGGCTGAATAATATTCCATTGTATGTATGTACCACATTTTCTTTATTCATCTGTGGACAGACATTTATATGGTTTCCATATCATGGTTATTGTTAATGATGCTACAATGAGCACAGGAGTGCAGCTATCTCTTCTAGATACTGACTGCACTTCCCTTGGATATATACCCAGAACTGGGACTGCTGGATCATATGGTAGTTATATTTTTAATTTTTCGAGGAATCTCCATACTGTTTAACATAATGTCTGTACTAATTTACATTCCCATCAACAGTGAACAAGGGTGCCCATTTCTTCACATCCTCACCAACGTTTGTTCATCTTCTGGATGGTAGCCATTCTAATGGGTGTGAGGTGATAGATCACCGTGGTTTTGATTCTCATTTCCCTGATAATTAGTGATGTTGAGCAATTTTTCACATACATGTTGACCATTTGTATGTTTTAAGAAATGACTGTTCAGGTCTTCAGACCATTTTTTAATCAGGTTGTTAGGTTTTTTTGCTACTGAGTTTAAGGTGTTCCTTATATAGTTTGGACATTAACCTCTTATCAGATGTATAGTTTGCAAATATTTGCTCGCTCCCATTCCATAGGCTGCCTCTTCACTCTGATTGTTTCTTTTGCTGTGTAGAAGCTTTTAACCATTTTCTACTTTTTATTTTTTGCCTCTTTTGGGATCATCTCTAAAGAACCATTGCCCAGAAAATAAGTCTGTTTTATATAGTTCTACTTTTTTGACCTTCTGGATATAAAGGTCTTTTATCTTATCTCAAAACAAACTCAGTACACACCCTCTTGATTTGATTATATGTTTGTTTTTTCAGCTGAGATGCACTGTTTTCCTTGGTAAATCACTTTAGTAATTTTATAGCTCACATTGCCTAGATTTCTCTATGACAGCTATGATCCATCTCATAGGCCAACATTTATCTGGGCATTTGACAACCACTGCTTAGTCAAGTGACTGTTTCTTCCTAACTTGTAGCAATAGACTTCAAATGATCTTCTGCTTCCAAAATTAACTTCACCCATTCCTCATGTTTCTTGAATATATCATGTTTATCCTGCCTCCTGGCTGTTCCCCTATCTCAAATGTCCCCTTAATTTGCTTAACGATACCAGTTTAGATATTGATAATATTGAACTTTTCCTGAGCCCTGTGCTCCTGGAAAAGCTCCAATTAATAAATCCCCCAACTCTGACTCTTGTGCTTCAGAAAAAGGCTTACTGCCAAGAATAAGTCTACCTCTTCTTCAATAAGACTCAATGATGTCCTTCCTCCTTGTTTACCTATGACAAGGCTAGACATAGACCTTCAATTCCCATTCTCTGTCTCTCAAGTGATTAGCTGAGCTGTTTGTCCCCACTGACTAATCTGGACAAAATGCTTGACTTGACCAAACTTTAGTTAGGCTCCCCTCTACCCTCATGTCTGTTAGTTTGCCCCATCCTTGGAGCAAATGAACACAGGAGTGCAGCTCTCCTAGATACTGGAAAGCCCTCCTTAACAGCCTCCCAAGATGATCAGCTGACTGCAAGAAAAGACATTCTCTAATTAACTGTCTGATCACACCACTTGCTCACCCACACACCAATACCTGATTCCTTCTAGCCTTTCCTTCCCTTCCTATAAAAAGATAATTCCTTTTTGCATGACCTTTCATATTTTTACAGATCTTACAGTCTGAGCATTCTCTATTGCAACTTTCCCCTTCCCCTGATTGCCATAACCCTTTTGAATAGGCTTTTATTCAAGATTTAGTTAATACTTCTCAGGGGGGAATTCCATAACATTATGTCCTTTTTCTAATCAGAGCACTCATTACACTAGGGAATAGGGCTGTATTACTGCCTTGATACCTCACTATAATGCGAGGTTTTTGAGGGCAGTCTCTGTGTCCTGTTTACTTCATAGCCGTGGCCCCTTGTAGAGTTCTAGGACATCTTAGAGGTGTAATTAAGACTTAAGCTCTTTCTTGTTTAATTAAATTAACAGACAGAATTTTTTGCTTGGGATGATGGACAACTGGTCTGAGAACCTATTTCTGACTAGTTACTTCCATGGGTGAATGAACTAGGGGTGAGGGAAGGGAGATTACAATGGAGACTATTCTTCTACTTCTGCCTAAGAATAACATTCACGCCCAGAAGGGAGAATTTAGATTAGAAAAAGGTTTGCCACCTTCCACTGTCCCTTATAAAACTATGTGGGAAAGCAATTTTGATTATTGTTGTAGATGCCATCAGTTCTAGAAAAATATCCCAGAAGAAAATGGGGTTTTTTATTCCTTCTGGCTCAGAATAGTGACTTATACAGTTCTGGAGATGGAAGAAATACCAGCTTCAATTTATCAAACACATAAAATGTTAACTGTGCCATTTTATTGAACCTTTATGACATACATCCCCAAGATATGATTTATATTATATCAGAAATGCTGCTTCCTTTTTCCCCACTCCAGTCAAGAGATCCGACCTAGCTTCAAGGACTCCAGCTGAAAGCCTCAAGGTAGATTACAAAGGAGGCTGGTTCTATTTAGAAATAGCCCCTGACCTGAATTAAAATGTCTTTAGGATGTCAAATTTTATTTTGTTTGCTTGTTTTTCTCAAGGGTGCTCTGTTCCTGTTGTTCAGATTCCTTGCTTAAGGTCCTGATCCACTATTAATCTTAATTAGATCCTGGCTTTCTTATACTCAAACCATTTGCCTGGGAACCTGTCTGATTCACCTCAGTGCTTCATGGCAACTTAGTCTACATCAATTCTAATCCATCCATGCCCCTGCAATCCTTGCTAGTCCTGAACCTGATGGTGGTCTTGCTCCATCTCATACTGACATACCACAGGCCACTCAACTTACGCGTGTGTAAAGGCCCCTCCATGCTCACTATGGCTCTTCATTGGCTACTTACCCTGCACTGTCTCATGCTGCTACCGAAACAGTCCCAGTAATGTGCCACGTGGCTCAGAAATGAAACATCTACATATTTTAATTAACTTACTGCAATCAAAGTTTAAAAACACAGTTTAAAAAGTCATTGGTGAGTACAGTATGGAAGGAAGAGAGGGAGAGTAGCTTCACAATAGAGAAACATGACAAATATTACCTGAGCCAGGTGATCAAGTGATAAGTCATGTTGACAGTACATACCCTTGATATGACATGATGATAATGGCACTTTACCTATGAGGTCTTCTTTTCTAAAACCTATAACCCCAAAATAATTATGAGAAAAGCATCAGACAAATTCCAATAGAGAGGCATCCTAGAAAATACTTGACCAGCATCCCTCATAACTGTCAAGATTATAAAAATAAATAAAGTCTGAGCAACTGTTCCAGCCATGAGAGCCAAAGGAGACATGACAAACACATGTGGTATCCTAGATGGCACCCTGGGAAAGAAAAAGGACATTAGGTCAAAACATAAAGAAATCCAAATGAAGTATGGACTTCGGTTAATAAAAATGTACCAATATTTGTCCATTAATTGAAAGCAATGTATCATACTAAAGTAAGATGTTATTAGACAGGGAAACTGGATGTGGACTCTGTGAGAACTCTGTATTATCCTCTCAATTTTTCTGTAGATCTAAACTGTTCTAAAAAATAAAGTCTATCTTTAAAAAAGGTAAATGGCAATCAAATGATTTCACTCATCTGTGGAGTATAACAACAAAGAAAAAACTGAAGGAACAAAACAGCAGCAGACTCACAGAACCCAAGAATGGACTAACAGTTACCAAAGGGAAAAGGACTGGGGAGGGTGGGTGGGAACAGAGGGATAATGGGGAAAACAGGGCATTATGATTAGCACACATAATGTAGGGGGGTAGGGACATGGGGAAGGCAGTATATACAGAGAAGACAAGTAATGATTCTATAGCATCTAACTACGCTGATGGACAGTGACTGTAATGGGGTATGTGGGGGGGATTTGATAATACGGGGAGTCTAGTAACCATAATGTTGTTCAAGTAATTGTACATTAATGATATAAAAAAAAGCAAAAGCAGAAAAAAAGAAAAGGTAAATGGCAGAACTAAATTAGATGAATCAAAGAAAGAAAGAAAAGAAAAACAGTATTTCCTGTTAATCACTCTCGAGTACTTTGTCCCAGAGGCAACCATTTTCAATTCATTCCATTATTTCTTGTGGTTTTACTATATTTCTAAATAATATGATTTTCTAGAATTTTTTTTCATTTATCTATTTTGGACATTATCCACAGATTTCCTGTGTTGAGGACTTCACTCTCTTCCACCATGTCCCTTCTTTACATTATATTTATGTCAGAACTTTTGGTTAATCCATATTAGTGCTTACATTTCTGTAATTATATAATCATCACTGTTGAGCTAAATGGTGTTCTGATTACTTTTCCTTAATGAGGCATGTCTTGCTTCTTCTAAAGTCAATAATTGCTTTTTAAAAATTTGTTTGATTCTCTGTGTATATATTGTGAATCCTCCTCAAATGCTCCAAAAAGCTACATGGTTACACCATCTCTATATTATTTACCAGAATAACAGACATCAGAAAACCTATTTGTTTCATTTTTGTCCTGACACCTCCTTCCTAACAGACCTCCATTTTCTTGCTCTACTCTAGATTCATTCCTCAGCTATCATTCGAGGACTTTTCTTTTTCAATCTTCTAATGAATCCCATATTTTAGGGATCAAATATCATATTAGTTTACCTTCTCCTTTAGATGCAGCACATTCTCTAGTATCTTTTTCTTCTTTCCATCTTTTTTCTTCAAGACTATGATTCTATTTTCATCAATATTATATATTGTACCCAGTCTAAAAAGAAAAATAATTTTCTAGGTATTTTAAGAAGAACCATAATCTCCTTGCTTGGGATCCCTAGGAAACTGGGTTCAAGGGAAAAGCTTATGTTCAATATATTACTTTGTAGTGCAATCCCAGGAACCTAGTAGTGAGGGGGAAAAAAAGTAGAGGAAAGAGGGGTAGCAAATAATAGGCTGTTCATTATCTAGCTCATTTGTGTTGGAAGGCTTATAATGTACAAAATGTAATTTATGTAACAATAATTGCACAAAGGAGAAGGGAGGGAACAGAGCTCTACTGGAACAAAATTTTTGTGTACTTTTGAAATTAAATTGGTACTAATCCAAACTAGATTGTTTAAATTAACGTGCTAATTGTAATCCTGAGGGTAACCACTAATAAAACTATTAAAAAAAATAATAAAGGAAATGATAAGTTACTTAAAATGGTATGCTAGAAAAAATATATTTAACATACAAAATAAAAGCAGTTATAGAGGAATAAAGGAAAAAAAAGACCTAAAAAACAAATTTCAAAGTGGTATGCATAAATCCTACCTTATTAGTAATTACATTAAGTGTAAATGGATTGAATATTATAATCAACAGGCAAGGCTTGGCAGAATGGTTAAAACAACTAAAACTGTAATCTACCCATGTGCTGTATAAAGAAACACATTTCACAAAGACAAAAATAGGTTGAAAGTAAAACAATAGAAAACAGATATACCTGTATCCAGTGCACTGTAACTAAGAGAGCTAGAGTGGTTATACTTACATAATTTAAACAGTATTCCCAGTTAGTACAGAAAGGATTTCATGATTACTTTTCCTTTACTGCTTAACTTTAATTTGTCAAGAACTAAACATTGTCTTCTCTTATTTGCTTAATTTTCCATGTATTTATCAATGATTTTATTCAAACTTCTCACAAATTTTCTAAATCTCCTCTCAAAATGTTCAAATACATCAGATATTCCATCGTCTCATCTTTTTAATAGGGTTTCTCACAGAGTCTGCCATGATCCAATATGGATGGATTATTCTGTATATTTGAATTTTTCATGTTGAGATCCCCCTTCACAAGCATCATGATTATTACCTTTATTTCTCTGTTGGGTTAGAAATACTGTTTTTGGTTTTTCAGTTCTTGGTTTGTTTCCTCATTTGGTAGAGCTCAACCTCCAGTAGCTTCCTTAAAGAAGAGAATAGGAAGATATATATTTTTTGAGAACTTACCAGAATGAAATTTACTTATTCTACCCTGAAATTTGATAAAAATTTGTCTTGATACAGAATGTTAGACTGGAAGTCCTTTTCCTTCAGAACTTTGAAGGTGTACTGACACTGACATTGAACTTCCTCTATTCCTGTGAGTAGTATACAAAATTTTTTACTTTTGATTCTTATTGTATAACCTACCTTTTTATTTCTAGAACACCATTTGCAGTGCACTAAAATTTTAGAATGATACATCTTGGTATGAGTCTATTTCATCTGTTTTCTAGAGTATTCTGTGAGCTCTTTTCTCCTCAGTTTCCTAAGGATGTAAGGTAAAGATTCAGCTTATATATAAAAGTTAGTGATCAGTTCAAGAAACACAGGAATAAAATACAATTAGCAAAGCTAAGCAGTTCCTAATCCCTGATCTAGAGACACCAAAGGATAGGTAACCTTGGTTAACTCAAGAAAGGGGAGGAAGAAGTGTTTAAAGCACATGAATGGACTGTTTGTTTTAACAGGTATTCAAACTCAGTTGTAGTAACTAAAGCAATGAAACAGAGAAACTGGCATAATGAAGTTTTTATGTATAAGGTGGGTAGTTACGGGTAATTTTAAGGAAAGTTTTCCTCTTATCAAACTGTAAGAAATATTCTAGCCTCAACCAAATGTTCTAATGTGAGATATTCTTTCGGAGTCAGAATGCCTTTTATTTTTCCCATGTCTAGTGACAAGGAAAAAATTCCTGAAATGTCTTGAATTAAGTGACATAAGGACTGGTGAATGAGAGAGACAAGGGAAGATCATCAGTCAATAATCATGGGCCATAGCTGACCAGAAACTCCACATTACTTGATGAAGTCATTTCAACAAGCATCTAAAAGGTCCCCAGGAGCACCACAGCCCCCTTGCACATGTCCAATGTCTGATCATCATCATCAACAACTAATCTTTAAGCCTTCCCTATGGCCTAACCACCTATCCCAGGACTTTCCCTGATTCACATTAGTCCACCTGTTTTCCTTATCTGCAGCCAATGTGAATTTAGTGAACTTTCTTTCCTTGAGACCCCTCATATATGTGCCCTGTATCTTAAGTCTGGTGGACACATTGTTTCTGTTAACTGGCCTTGCTGCTGGAGAAGCAGAAATTTTCTGACCCAGGACTCAGTCCTTACCTGGTTATCACCTGAAAAGGCTTAATAAGCCCTCTTATTTTAGAGATCTCTTGGTCTCTAGTTTGGGTTTGTCACTACAAACATCTGCCACTTTCACCTCAAATGTATATGACATGTTTTTGTGAAGTGTAAATCCTTTGTAAAATTGTGTTAAATCTAAATGAAATTGAATTAAAATTAAGGAAATGTGTTTGATTATCAAAATCCTATTGCTCAATGTTTTTTTCCCAAAGCTGAAATCAAAGCATTTATCCCAAAATATACTACTAGGAATGATTAAACATAGTGATTTTTTTAGCGTATATACTGTGAAATCAAAAAGAAGATTATGGAGGATGGCGGCGTGAGTAGAGCAGTGGAAATCTCCTCCCAAAAACACATAGATCTATGAAAATATAACAAAGAAAACTCTTCCTAAAAGAGAGACCAGAGGACACAGGACAACATCCAGACCACATCCACACCTGCAAGAACCCAGCGCCTTGCGAAGGGGGAGAGGAAGGCCACAAACCAACAAGAATGGAAGCTCTTCCAGCGGTCACTCGTACCAGCTCTGCAAACTATCTCTATCACCATGAAAAGGCAAAACTACAGGCAGACAAAGATCACAGAGACAACACCTGAGAAGGAGACAGACCTAACCAGTCCTCCTGAAAAAGAATTCAAAATAAAAATCATGAACA